TTCACGGGCTTTCCTTTTCTGATGTTGTTTCAAAAAGGAGCTCATCTTTGTAATTTCTCTTCACTGGGCCATTCCTCATCTTCAATACTGGATTCTAGCTCTTGTGGAGCAGAAAGGTGAGTAATATTTCTGAAGGTAACGTCTTTCTTACCTAAAAATGTATTTTGGATAGATATTCACCTCTCTGTACCACCTCTCACACTTCCTCCCAACTTCTGGTGCATTCACTTTGCCTCGTCAAGAATGAGCCTGCATTCTTGTGCTAGTGCTCATGGGGATTACTGCACATAGAGGACATGTTGATCTCCTACTGGTGGAGTGCTATAGTGTAATGGTGATTAAAGCATAAAGTAGTGCAATACATGTTGACATTTATAGGAGTGGGAGCTTTAATCAAGGTTTGTGACGTGTTCAGGAAATTACGTGGCAGTGTGCACAAGGTAACAGCTCTTTGTTGTGCAGAGAGGTGAATATCTATCTGAAATACACTTTGAGATTAAGGAAAATGGTAATGTCTGTGGTACTCGGGTAGAATTTTTTTGCAACAGATAAGTAAGGATAAATTAAGCAGAAAATAAATAAAACACTGACAGAAAAAACAAGAAGTGAGGATAAGTAAATAAATGAAAACAAACTCTTTATTCATATAACAATAAAACATATAGCTGTGGCCTTATCATACTAACTAGCTTCATTATTCTGTATTAAAGACTGCAGCTGGCTGCTGGAGCAGATAGATGCGTGTGTACACCCAACATATATGAGTAAGAATAATGATACATTATACTATTAAATTATATTGAAACCACAAGTGTGATATTTTACAATCCGAGACTTCTTTCTCAATGATAATTCCTCTTACACATTCAGGGGAGAAAATACACTCATACAAACCTTTTACAAGTCTCTGTTTCACTTATTAAAATGAGTATGAACTCACTCAAGGAATGAATAACATAAAAACAGGGTAAAGCAAGTAAAAGTATTTAGTGAACAATCATTGTTACAAATAACCCTTAGCTAAGCTAGGGGATTATTACAAGTTTAGACTATTTACATCCTGTTTATAAAGACATGGTTCATACAGTCACTTGAGAAATACTTGTGACATCTTTTCTAGACCAAAATTGACAAATATCAACAATTTTTTTCTTCACACAAGAACTGTCATGAAGAGAACAAAAACAAACACACTTTTGACATTTTTAATTATACTTTTTTTTCGACAAATCATTGACACTGTTACTAACATTTGCACTAATAATAATGACATTTGGTGATTCACAAATTTCTGAACGAAGACATTTGTAAATAATAATTTTTGTTTTAGTTGCCCTACCTTATCACCTATGCTTTTCTTCAGCTCATTTTGCTGTCGTTCCCTGGTGGAACAGCAGTAATTCCTTGGATTTAGAATGCTAAAATTAGGGGTTCGATTCCCCTTGGAAAACAGCAGATAGCCTGGTATGACTTTGCTATGAAAACACACACACATACATTTTGTTGCCAAAGAAAAGTGGCAATATTTTATCATGTTATCACTTCATTTTCTCACCCAATTTCATGGGACTTAATAGTTAATACACCCATTTTTGATGCAGCAAAAGGTTTGTCACATAAGATGTAAAGAGGTTTTGCTTTGTTTTTGCTCACTCCTTAAATCCACTGTCTGTATTTAGGATTTGCTTACCAGTCTTTCCAGTAGTCACAGCGACATATGATGATGTAAATTACAATTGGAATTAGATTTAATGGTGAACATACAAGCTTTTAGTTGCTCAAAGAAAACCCTGATTTTAATTCATAATGGACAATATGATTGGCCTATTTTGCCCTGATGTTGTGCAATGATACAGTCAACACGTTGCATAAATACTTGACCCATTTAGTCAAGGCAGCACCACTTAACTCTCTCAACACAGGCTCAGTCAATTTGACCAACCATGTGACCTCTTTGTACTCGTTTAAAGTCTTTATAGACTTAATACTTCTAACTTTCAATATAGCGTGTATATCTTCACAAAATGTGGCAGATTTTCAGTAAACATTATAAGTCTTTTACATACAAAAAAATAATATTTTTAGTGAAGTATTTTTAATAAACCAAAAAAAATTTGTCTGTGAATATATTGATTTGTTTTTTATTACTCCGGGTGCAAAGTGATTTTCACGTTAAGATTGAAAATACTTTTCTTCATCTCAAGAATCTCAAATATCATTTGCATAATCTCTAAAACCTACTAAATACATTTCAAATGTTTGTTTTCAGTAAAACATTTTATTTTATCTGTTATTTTCTCTACCCTACCTCTATACAAGGTTAGTCAATTTGACCGACCTCGTAACCACCTAAAAAAATCTAATAAATCTAAATTACCATCTTTTTCTTTCTCGAATTACTTCAAATTGAAACATGAAACTACATTTGTTTATCTTAAGAAGCTTTAACCTCATAAAAGTATACATCTATTTATACTTAAATTGTATTATTTTTTTGGCCTTTGAACCACATCTAATTACTATTCGTGTCATTATAAATTGTAAATCATTTGAGGAATGTGGAGCTCAAGTTACATTGCGCACAAACTGCTCATGTGCATGCCTCGTGAAACATTTTTATTATATTATTATTATTTATTTTACCTAATATAACCTTAACTAACCTAAAGAGATCCATATTTTTACATTTTAGATAGTTTTAAAATAATAAGTAAAGAAGAAGCATGAGAAACAAGAAATAAGATACTCTGGCCTTCTTATTTTTAGTGTCGATGATACTTAACACTATTTTTTTCTTTTAATACTAATGGTAATAATGCACTAAATAATTTATACTTAATTAAATAATACACCAAAGAACATGCAAAAAGCAGACAATTTCCTCAAACTATCACAATTTTTCTGACTTTCTAGCTATGCGGCAAGAGCCATTACAAATTCATCTAAGCTAGTCATTAACTTTCTCACAGGAACGATGTTGGTACTTTGAGTGAAATTGACATTTAACCATTTAAAACAATGTTATACAATATGTCATTTGATAAATGAAAACATTAATTTTCTATTGGTTACAGGTAATATATAATTTAATATAAGAGAGAACTATTAATGAATTATAAAAGAGAGGGTGTGGCAGGAAGGGTCTGATTTTCTATTTGATAGCTCTATAACCAAACAAAATTGAAGACTATAAAAATTATGGTTTGTCTGAGCAATGAAGATTTTATAGAGTAATATACATTTAATTTCGTACTTTTTTTAGGGGTGGTGGATAAAATAGGGAAGATGACATGCTAAAAAAAAAGTGTCACGTGGGTCACTCAGGATTTTTTTAAAGATTGCCTTGTAGAATTAAGAACATAAAACTAATATACTATTAAAATATGGATTATTAGCTAAAATTCTATGCTACTGTTATGACAGTGGATGTCGTGTGACACTGCTGGCGCGTGCACGATGAGTTTCTTGAGTGATTGGGGAAGTCCGAGTGTGTTCGAGATGCCCTCTTTGTTAGTATATAAGCCTGGCAGAAAAAAAAAGCCAGCGGGCATGAATGAAGAGAGAGCAGTAGTTAATTTGAGTTCCGTATAATTTATAATTCTGTTAGTTTTGAGCTAGTGAGCCGTAAAGTGTGTTTTGCACTTGTCGTGAGCGAAGTTATCAAGATTGTGAATTGCTGTGATTTATAGCGTGTATTATAAAAGTTGTTAAGTTTAAA